AGAGAGAGAGAGAGAGAGAGAGAGAGAGAGAGAGAGAAATAGATTGAGGATCCTATGAAAGAAATATTATGAAAAAAAGGGGGGAAAAGTTGAGTTGACTTGTACAGCCAATTTGATTATTGCAAATGAAATTAAGTTTTTAAGTTAAAATAGGTGGGATTGTTTTAGGGAGTACAGAATAGTTATAATAATTCTCAGGATGAAAGATGATTAACAGGCGAGACTGATCAAAGTATTTCGGAGCTGGAAGTGAAAAGGAGGCAGGCCAGAACTCTTGTAGCTCCATAATGACTATTAGAAGAATTCTAATGATGGGTAAGATGCATGGAGTTGGAAACTTGGGACTCATTCTCATTCACACATGCATATAATCACCGCACCAGCCTCCATGATGAACACATTATGGCGGCCTACATATGCAGAAACAGATGCCTACTTGCACAAGTTTTCGTGCAAATTAAGTGCATGCAACAAAAATGATAATAACAGAAAGGTAAATTGACAGAATGAAAAAACACAGATTTATACTGACTTTACTATCACACTCCGTCTGTTTGCACAGCTGTAATTGGGCAGCCGATACGTGGAACAGCTGACGTGTCGAAAAGCGTCCACATTTGGAGCAGTGCATTACTGAATCAAGACCATCACAGCAGTGTGTCATCCTGTGATACATCTCAACCGAATTTCACAAAGAACTAAAAGAGAAGTCACACTCTGAAGAAAGGGGAAACTGGGAATGTCATATGTCATGCATTTGCACGTAACTCCACGCAGACATTTAAGTAACCATCTTAGTTTACTTTCCATAGTTAAACTTCCATTCCTGCCAAAGTTACTTTAAGGCTTGAGCGGTTGAATATATCTGACCTGACAGTGTTTTCGGAGCATGCACGCGCAGTCTGTGAGAGCAGAGCACACTTCCAGAGGGAAAGGAGAGGGGAAAAATGGAAAAGAACATACCTGCTGCAGCTCACGAGACTAAAAGGCCCTGGGAGAAGAAGCGCTCTGTCTAAACACGGTGGTCGACTCTGTCTAAGCCCCTGAGGATTGACTCGTTGGTTGAACAGATGACGCTCGTGCAAACTGTTGATGAAGCGCGTTCACGCCGCGTGCGCGCGTCCGTGCAGCAGCTGGAAGAATGTCGACGTGGAGCTGCCAATCGTGCGCGCGCAATCACGCACGCGCTTCGAGGGGAGAGCACTACAGTGTGCTGCTTTCAGGCTCTGAGTTACAGTCACTAGTCTCTTAGTTAGTTCTTCTGATTCTTCTTCTTCTAGAATTTGCGGCAGGCTAGACGCATCACCGGCGCTGTTAGTTACAGTGAGGTTCATAAGATATGTGTGAGAGCACCTGAGATAGATAGACAGACAGACAGACCGACAGGCATAGACAGACAGACATAGATAGACAGACAGACAGACAGGCATAGACAGACAGACAGACATAGATAGACAGATAGACAGACAGACAGACAGGCAGGCATAGATAGACAGACAGACAGGCAGGCATAGATAGACAGACAGACAGGCAGGCATAGATAGACAGACAGACAGGCAGGCATAGATAGACAGACAGACAGGCAGGCATAGATAGACAGACAGACAGGCAGGCATAGATAGACAGACAGACAGGCAGGCATAGATAGACAGACAGACAGGCAGGCATAGATAGACAGACAGACAGACATAGATAGACAGACAGACAGACAGACATACATAGACAGACAGACAGGCAGGCATAGATAGACAGACAGACAGACATAGATAGACAGACAGACAGACAGACATACATAGACAGACAGACAGGCAGGCATAGATAGACAGACAGACAGACATAGATAGACAGACAGACAGACATAGACAGACAGACAGGCAGGCATAGATAGACAGACAGACATAGATAGACAGACATAGAAAGAAGAAAACCGAACTCTCCGTGTACAGATAGGTAAGCTATAAGAGGACAAATAGAGAAAAGAAGAGAACTTCTCCAGACAGCTGCAAGAAATGAGAGAGCAATTACAAAATAACACAAAAGACAACACACTTTGCTACAGTACAGCTCCTACTACAGACAAATCAGACCACGCATATACAGAAAACAAGCCTGCCACAAACACACAGACACCCACAGAAACACAGACCTCATCTGCCCACCATCCTGAACCTGATCCAGATGTTCTCCTCCTCATGGACTCTAATGGAAAGTTCTTGGACCCACAGAGACTTTTCCCACATCAAAAAGTCACTGCAAAACGATGCAGGACAACAGGCCATGCCCACCAGATCATCAAAGACTTCACAGGACACCCCTCACGTGTTATTATACACACTGGAACTAATGACCTTCACTCACTGCGCAACAATACTGCTGATGCTGTGAGGAAAATGGTAGAAATCACCAGCAAAAAGTTCCCAGAGTCCCGAATCATAATTTCCACACTTCTCCCACGATGCGACACACCACCACACATCATCTACAGCATTAATGCTGAAATTTCCCATGGATGTTCTTCGCTCCCTAATGTACACCTGGCCCACCACCACAACATCGGTCTCCAACATCTGTATGATGGACTTCACCTCCATAAAGATGCAGTACGTGTTTTTGCAAAAACCCTAAAGGATGCAGCCCTAGGCCGCAGACCATCATCACCAAGGCAGCTGTTACCGACTCCAGAACCCTACCGGCCCATTCACCCCTACATGCCCAGACATCCCCCTCCGACCCTGGTGAAGAAAGACATCGCCTGGACAAGGATCCCACATCATCCACCACACCCACCTATAGCTCCTCACGGTGCTGTAAACCTACAGTCAGCAACTTCACAACCACCTGCTGACAATCAATCCCCCATGAGAAAGAAGAAACCAAAAGCCACCCCACACCAAGAGAAGCCCCCACAGCTGAGAGCACAGAGCTATGCTGAAGCTGCAGCCCGGCCCCCTGCTGCACCCAGCACCTCCACACCTGCCAGCGAACTGAGCCAGATCAGAGAGATGCTGCAGACACTGTGCAACCAGCTCCTGAACAGATAAGGACAATATGCACAAACACAGTGCTCAAAAAAAAAAAATTATAGTAAAAATCACAACAACAAAAATAAAAAAATACTAATGTAAATTGTTTGCCATGCACGTTTTCATAAGTACACTAGCTTCACGTTATTTTCTCTGTCTTACCAACCAGGTTTATCTTTAAAAATTGTATGCGTTCATTTCATATAAGTTGTTGGAATATTCAGGGTCTTCACTCTTCAACATTTGGTTCTAAAAGCACAGACCCAGAATTTCTTAAAAATATCAAAGATGCTGATATGATCATTCTCACCGAGACCTGG